TACACTCTGCTTATTTGTAATCTATGTTTTACACTCTATGTGTAAGTGAGGTGTTTTTTGGTGTTTGCAGTGAGTAAGGATGAAGCTGGCTCACAGAAAGAGTGATATGGAGCGTTTGGGTGTGTTTATGGAGATGAGCTACATCTCTGCAGGAGACAAGTACACTTCAGCAAACAGCCATGAGCATGACATAAACTTTACTAACCTGTAAAAATGTAGACAGCTCCTTTAAATGATCCCACAGCTGACAGCATGGAGGTAACAGACAACTACAGGAACCTGCTGGAAAAAGGAGGTCAATGAGAATCACTTCATAATAACATTAGACTGACTTTTTACAGGAACATAAAACTGGATGAAGAAAATTGCTAAAATACATTTAGTTATAGTCAAATATCTGGCAATTCCAAAACTACTGAATCCAACAAACAAATAGTGTTCTTTTCTTAGTGTTGGATTGACTGCAAAGTCATGCTTAGACATCATTCACTCAAGGTCACAATTTAACTAGCCAGGTAAAAATCAGACCCTTATTCTACACTATTTGCTTCATCCAGATGGTCTGGTTTCTCAGGTGCTGACAAATGTTTGCTTCCTGGAGGTGTGGACTGTGATGAGGCTTTAATTTGTACCCACTTGCTAACCTTGCCCATGATGTGTGTAATGCACTAGTTTGACACTATGAAGTCTTCGACTGTGAAGAGACAAGTGCTGATCTGAATTCAATATTTGGAAGTGTGACCAACTCAGACTGAACGGCTTAGTTTACTTCCTCCGCTGCCACTACTAAAACTACAAGCAGCCTACAGTTCTTAAGAATCATTGTCATCATTCACAACTTCTCCTTGTGTTTGCTAATTGGCCCATTTAGAAAAAACAATAATCTAAGTCAATGGGAGAAAGCCCAGACTGGAAGACAGAATATGTCTGCATGTGTCACTGAACAATGCAATCTTCATTTTCTTAAAGAAGTGGTTACCAGAAACCAAAGATCATCACCTAAAATAATAAACTCAAGGATTTAAGTAGGAGAAAATATAAATTTCAATTATCTGCTAACAGTTCAGGTTAAGGTTTTGGGAAGTAAGTTTGAAGTTGCCTCTGCCTGAACAGTTGTGTTGAATCCAGGAGGAATTCAACACAACCCAAGCTACATAGTGAAGGTCATTGAACTAAGAGGAAATGTGAGATTCTGATGGCCCTTATGGGCCAGCAGCACTTTCAACTGAAATGAAAAATGTGATTTAAAGTGCATGTACGTGATGCTTCCATTTTTAATCCAAGTCCATTCAATGGGTCAGCATATCGAAGCCGCCAGATGCAGACGGGTGTCACTAAACAGCCGTGTGCTCTGCAAAGTGGCTTTTTCAACAAGTCCTTTAAAAGGATCTTGAGAAAGAAGCGCTGAGTGAACCTCTGAGACTGGCTCGGAGGAACCGGATGCAGCAGGTGAAGAAGAACCTAGGCAAAGCCTTCCTGCCCTGCAGCGGGACCAAGAAGCTGTGAGGCAGCACACACAAAGATATATTTACTAAGATCTTTAAATATGTCTGCTTAGTTGAAAAATATTCATGATTTACTATTACAATAATGTATCCAAGTGATCTCAGATGAAATTTTAACTGATGTTTGTTACATAATTTGTTTGTGCCTTCAGCTCTGGTTCTGGGAGTTACTATGGCACCGTCTGGACCAATAGAAGCCACAAGTCCTCTGACAGTTCCCAAGAAAGCTCAGCGCTCACCTGGCCGCAGCATTCTCATCTCACCGCCCAAGAAAGGCAGTGGTTACAGGTTTATGGCAAGCAAAAGTAGTTCCTAAGCTCTGAGACAGCTTCCTTCTTCCCCCGAGGGTCAATGACACAGAAGCAGCATTTCTAGCGGTGTTGCCATTGACAATTTGCAGCAAATCACCAAACAGCTGCAAACTGGAATTATGAAAATAAATTAATCTTATGAAAACACAGCAATTTCTAAAAAACAGGTTTTATGAAAACAATTAATGCACTAGGATGAGGTGGATTTTCGGCTTTATCAAAATTAGTGAATTTTGCAAAACTGCAGTGGAAACACTTTTTTGATGCCACACATCATGTGATCAATGACCAGATGTTACTACTGGCCGAAAAGATGCAGAAGACGACAGGAAGTGGCAGGAGGATGATCCCGTAGACATAATAAAGAATAGCATAACAATTATTTCGTAATATCTATATATACATATTTTACAAACATACAATAATACAAATTTAAACATAAATGATTGATGCCTAATACATACTTATAAAAACATTTACATATATGGTGCTGCATGTTTTTAATGACAAACTTATTGATGTGTGATTTTAATTGTGTTTCTCATTTAATGCAAACACTACAATTACAAAATTGTGCATTTTCGATATGAGCAGAATATGAACAAATTTTTGTTCACATTTATAATTGAATTTGAACAAAGCACAGTCCATGCAGGGCTTGTTGGTAATATAAGTAAACTGTGAATCAGTCATGAAATAAATGACCTGATTTAAGGAGGTTTCTAGTAAGAAGCACAAAATAAGAAATAAAATAACTCCTGATAAACTGTGCTTTTGATCAGTGGTTATCTGAAGGATTTTCAAAGTTTGCCTGTATTCTTCCTTTTCCCCAGTTATCCTAATGTCACTCTGTCCAAAATGGACCTGTACGTTTCTGACCCATACGTCAGAGCCAAAGAAGCCCATAAGGTAACAAACATAGCTGATTATTTTTGTGTTTTCTTGATATTAACACTTTCAGTTTACATTATGCGAATTAACATGTGAAACATATATTCCTCTGATACAAAGGCACAATCATAAAGAAGGACAAGTTAAATACAGTAATAGAAATATTAATAGCCGTTTAGAATATATCCAGTATT